CTCTCTCTCTCTCTCTCTCTCTCTCTCTCTCTCTCTCTCTCTCTCTCTCTCTCTCTCTCTCTCTCTCTCTCTCTCTCTCTCTCTGTGTTACAACTTATGACTCAAAGGGAAACAAGAGTTACAGACCAGGCAATGGCTTCTTGAACTTCTTTCATTACAATGTGTGCTCTTGACTATCCTTCTTTTCTCTACTTTTGCTACCTCTTTAGCTATCTTTCCTGCTTCATTACCAGAAATAAAAGTAGCATTTTGGGCCTTCTTTCCCATCACTTCAAGTCTTACCTGCAAAACACCCCATTTTCAGCAAACAAAAAAAGATTATTGAAAACTAATCATATCACAAAACAGCTAATACATGTGTAATTTCCTGTAACTCTAAAAAAAACAATCGAGGTTTCTTCTATTAGGATAGGACTAGCAATTCACAGGGTAACCTATTAGTTGTCACAAATCCAGAATTACACTTCTTGGACAATAACCATGATTGCTGGATTTTATGCTTGCCCTCACAATTAAGAAGTTCACAAGTGGCATTCCATGAATTCTATTAAAAATCTGACAGTTTTTCTGAAAAAAATATCTATTCAGTGAAAACAGTTGAAGAAAGATCACACAAAAGCTTTTTTCTTGCATATCAACCATGATCACTGGATTTTTTGCCAACACTTGCAATTGTTTAGAAACCATGCACATTATTTTGTGAAATCCTGTTTAAAGTTTAAACTCATGCAGTTTTCAATAAATAAAGGATGAATTTATGAACTGAGTTATGGATAGTTTTCAGAATACCTACCAATTGAGAAATCCACTGTTTACATAGATTTTTTTTTTTAAGCCCATTTTATTTTGCAGAATTTAAAATAGTCCTCTATACTTCATATTTCACGGGCAAGTCCCACTATTGGAGAGTGTAAAGGTATTTTATTTTCTTTTAATTTGATGCACCAGATAAGCTTAAATCACCAAAATACACCTATAAAAATACAAAAAAATAGATTGAAATAAATAAGCCTGAATCTTGTAGGGTATTTTGGTTATTTTCTATTATTGAATTTATTATAACTCTTTTAAGCGAGTATGATGAGATACATGGACACCCCAAATTTGAGCTCCATCCGATGTACCTAAAAAGAATCAAAATTCAAATAAATTATATGATGTCGAAAAGTAGTAGTAGAGTGTCCAATATGAAATATAAGGGGTCTATTTTTTAAAAAATAATGATAAAAATAATAAGATTTTTCTGCGAATTTCCTTGTCAAAAAAAAAAAGAAGAAGATTTTTCTGTGAATTTCCCTATTATTTACTGAGATTATATCAATAAATTAAGCATTTTTCTATAGAAACGTTAATTCAATAAAAATCGTTACAGAAAGGTTTGAAAGAAGCTCTGATTCTTATAAAGAACTTCATATATATCATTTCATTGAATACTACTAAATTTTAAAGTATTTTCCTAAGAAAGAAGTTAATTTGATAAAAAGGATTACAGAGAGAAGTTTCAAGAGCGCCCTGGTTTTTCACTGGATTAAAAGCTTGCATCTGCAAATGAGAAACAGTAGAATAAATTTGTGACTAGATATTAATAAATAAACTGGTTTATCAGAAATAAAGAATTCTGTAAACCCTGCATTCTGATCCACAAATTAGTCCAGATCCAATGAGAGAGAGAGAGAGAGAGAGAGAGAGAGAGAGAGAGATTTGACCAAGAAAGCGTTGGTTTTAGCCCATCATTTTCACTTACAAGCTACAATGGAGAAAAAATGGTCTAGGTTCCTGAAAATGATTTCTATGTAAGTAAACAGTTTGCAAGCACTCTATCTGATGTGTACATGATCAAGATTCACAGAGAGAGAGAGAGAGCAATTTAGAGAGGGAACTCGTATGTGTTACCTTGGAAGCATTGTTTTTAGTCCAGCCAAATCCTCCACCACCGCCATTACTTGACAAGAGATCGTAAATCTCTTCATTATAAATCTCAAGAACAGTGACCTTGACCATGCATCTACACCCGAGCCCTCCATTCCGCAAATCTTCATCTCCCTCACTTTCTTGCTCCCCCAAAATATCCCTCAAAGCCCTGTAAACGATCCCTGCTTGCTTTGAACACCCAAACATGGTGTAACTCTTACCCGAACCCGTAGGCCCATACATCATAATGGTGCATTTTCCCCCCAATTTTACACCATTAATTCTCGACTCAACGAACTTCTGATAAAAACCTTCCAGATCTTCTTCCTCTGCAACTGAAACTCCATCAAGCCTGAAATCTCGATACCCAATATCTGTTCTAACCCTAACATTTAGGCCACCTGCAGTGATCTGAATTGCTGGAATTTGTACATCTTTTCGGTCACTGTGGTCTCGAATTCGGCCAATGACTTCAATTGGGTGCTCAGCAGAAAGGATTTCTTTCGCAGGGGAGGGGTGGATAGTTGGTCGAGTGATGAAATTTAAGCGAGATTTTATTTGGGAATGGGGGGTTTTGTGTGGAGTTCCATGGTTTGAGGTAGGTTTTGGAGATGGAGTTGGAGCCATTGGAGATACCAATCTGATTATTTATTTAGCTGCAGGCAAATGTGGGTTTTGCAGGGCCTTGATGGGCCTGCAGGAGAGAGAATGAGAGGGAGAAGAGAGAGCAAGAAATCTTCTTTGTGGGTTTCAAGAGTTTGGGAACTTTGGATCCTGAAGAAATGCAGGAAAGGGATGCCTTGATAGAAGAAATGCAGGAAAGGAATGCCTTGGTAAAAGCTTTTACAGTGATTAATGGAGGTAGAGAGAGAAAGAAAACGCGACGTCCCCTGCGTATTCAAGAGCTAAGACTTCGAAACAGAGCGGACATTAATGGAAGGTGGAGAGAGAAAAAGGAAGTGTGAAGGAAGAGAGGAGCAGTGATGGAAAGAAATGCAAATAAATGATTTTGAAAATCCAAGCGATATAGCCGTTACAAATTCAACGTCTCTATTTAATGAAGTACACAACTGAAAAGGCGCTCCTAGTATCCTAAATCTGCCCCTTATTTTTCTCATAATTCCATTTGGTGACCTTGTTGTGAGTCTAAATTATCATTCTTTTAGGGTTAAAAATGGGAAAATTATTAGGACATAGTTTTTATTAGTCCATGTAGAAATGAGTCCCATCATAAAAATTTACATTTATTTTTGAGATAGATTTTTTACTTAATTTTAAGGTACATGTAATATTTAACATGGAGATCATAAATATAAATAAATAAATAAATTTTAAAAATTAAAAATAATATTTTTATGAAAAAAACATTTTGATCGTTAGTTTCAATTGTTTTAAGATGAATCACCTATGTGTTTTGTACTTTGCGACAACATATTGTAGAAATGTGGTTTGGTCCGCATGAAACACTTTTTCAAGTTATAGATGTATCTCATGATTGTACTTTCTAGGCATAACAACAATTTAAAAAGGAATGATTGTCAAATAGACTATTTATCTTTTAAAAAAAACTAACAATAGTTTGATAGCTATAATGAATAGTAATATAGATAGAATTTCAGTCGTAAGATATTCATTAAGTGATTTAAAATATATATATTATTTTAATTTCAAAATTTTTCTATAAATCTGATTAAGAATAAATTTTAAGTGTATATACCTAATACCATTGCGTGCCCCCTATAAAAATATAAAATAATTATTTTCAATAATTTAAAATAACCAAATTGCCTCCATCATTTTTCAGAGGGTATTTAGATTATTTTATATCTTGGTAAATATTTTTATATATATTTTTTAATTGTGCACCCTATTTTTTGGTGCGTACGTTTAAAATTTCATGATGGTTTGATTTCTATAAAAAATATTAAAATTCATATAGTGATATGCATCAGGAACCACATGATGAATATCTGATGGCTTCCATTCAACCTATATTACTATTCATTAGAGCTATACAGTTATTGTAAGATTTACTCATATCTTTTGCGTATAAGGGTCAACATTATTCTCACTCATTATAATTATTCTTGCATCAGATGTCAAATTAGATAGTTTGGAGTGAGTCGCGAAATCCAATAAGTTTTTTTAAACTTTGTGTCTATTCTATAACACTATTACAACTACTTATTTTGAAATTTAAGGGTTAAGGATAAAGCTTATATAAGTACGAGGCTCTAAAAAATCAAATTTGGGTACACCTCAAAAATATCAATAAAAGAGGTTGTTTTGATGCCCAAATATCCTCAAACTTATCATCTTGCCGTCAAGATGCATGGACATGATAAAAAAATGAATTTCAAGTTTTATGAAATAGTGCATATTGTAATGCATTTATTGACAGTCAATTTTTAAGATTTTAAAGTTTTCATAAATATGTTCGATCTACACTATTTTTTAAGCTTTAAATTTTATAATTATAAATGAAAATATATTTTAATGCTATCACAAAGATTTCTAATATTAAAACCATATTTCTCGATACACTATTTCAAGGTGCGCTTCACTTTGATTGTTCAGAGCCTCGATTCTATACAAACCGCACCCAAAGATAAATAGTCTCTTTGTAGTTAATTCCAAAAAAGATATTTGATACTATATTATTAAACTAAAAAATGGACTAAGGTATAAGTGATTAGGGCCGTGGTTACTGCAACATGACATATTGAGTTTCATTCCTATTACAGATAGATGCCCTTTCCTAACTAATCTACCATAAACACCACTATTAATTCCAATACTATTTATTGTTGAATCCATTCCCCAAGTATATTAGTCAAAATATGTCACCATCCATTCCCCAAGTACAGTAGTCAAAATATGTCACCCCGACGGGACTTGAACATAGAAACATGTCTAACACCTTTCAATAAAAGCTAGTTGTGCACATTTTTGTGCTAGATCAATAGAATTTTAATATCAGAAGACGATCTTGCGCATTTTGTATAGGATTGGCACATTATGTTTGAAACCAGTCTCAAATATGCTGTGCACAACATTTTAAGGGGAAAACATGGGTTAGAATGTGGAAGTTTTGATAAAAAAACAATATTTTTTACTTGTGGTGGATGTAATAACAAAAAAATATCGAGGTTAATGGTGTGGTATCGACGGAGGTGGGGGTAGAGGGGAAGGGCTCATACCTAGAACATACAATTTGAGAGTATCAATAAATTTTCCATAAAAAATTGAGATATATATTATAAGAGTATTTACCTTTAATATAAGGAGGTCGTAGTTATGTACAAGCGTTAGATGTAAAATGTGAGAGTTTGGATGTGTTAATAAGTTAAAAAAATAATAATTTAAATTTTGATCTTGGACAATAGAATAAATACGACCATCCATTTTTAATCAACAATCAATATTAATTATTACCTCCATGTACAGAATATAACTGGATTTTATTTTATTTTTAGTAAGTAAGGGTAAACTAACTTATTGTACGCTAACTTATTATATGCCTTTTCATAAAAAGGGGCTATCCTTTTTTATGCGGCTCATTGCGAGTATGTGAACACTTTTAAAGTAGTGTAATTGGAGTAAAATTTTATGTTTTTGGGCTTAAAAAATAATGCAAATATTTTCAAATTTTTAAGTTGGAGGACGTATGTTTCTTATTTTTGCCCAAAATAATGGGTATAGGACTAAATCTAATTTCTCTTTTTTTTTGGAAAAAATTTGGCACTTGAAGTACAAGACCAACTTCTCTATAAGATCAGTGTGGCACTCCAAGTGTCAAAGGGATGGCACTTGAAGAAAGAGAGTTGCATACCTAGGTAAAGTATCTTGGCAAAAAAATTAGAGAGAGAAAGAGAGCAGCTCTTCAGGTGTTGGAGGTGTTAAGAGTCTCAAGTTTATCTGACAGTGAATATACAAACTTATTTTTTATAGACAAATTATATATGAAAAACTATAAAAATAAATCACAACCACATAAACTATAGGTAAATTTACCATAAAATACATGATACTAATCCTACCATTCCCATATATATTGATTACAATATATACCTTCCATATTAACCCGGTCTTTCATTTTACACTCCCCCTCAAATTCAATATGCGATAGAGCAACTGGAGTTTGAACACTGATTTTGGAATCGAGTAGTTGGATCTTCAGGTAGTCATGATTGGAGTTTGAAGACTAATTTTGGAATTGAGTAGTTGGATATTTAAGTGTATAGTATGACCAATAGATGCATTGGTTGCCATGTTCAAATTGCTTGATCAACAAGCAAAGAAAGCAACGGCGGATTAACAAGCCTCAGTAACAGATGGCCTCAGGAATTGAGGGGTATTCCATTGTAGGCTCGATCAATCAGACAAAAAATCCAAGACAAATCAATCAAAATAGCTAAAAGAACACAATTGCACTTGAAATAGTCAATAGATCTCGATGTGAATGTGTGACGGATTCAGCAGTTCGTAGACCATAACAGATATAATCCAGTAACAGAAACTCAATCATATAAAAATAATCAGGCATGATCGACTTGATGGTCCATCACATGACCACAATTCACCACTATCCAATAAAACCAATATCCAAAGTCTCTTTTAAACAATCGCTTCCTCTTCTAAACAAAATGGTCCCTAATAGAAAAACAAAATGATTCCAAAAGGAGCCATGATCATTATTCTCTCACCAACTCCCCACTTCTTCTCCTCTTCTCTTTCAAAGTGGGGAACATTTTATTTCAAACTCTCTCTCTACCCTTTTTAATAGTCAAGGGTGATGAGAAAGAGACGGAAAAGAGAGAGAAAAGCCAAAGGGGAGGAAAAGAAGGACAATTGCTTGGACAATACAATTTCATGGATGTAGGCTGAACAACCGAACCACGTATATGTCTTTATGTTTATCTCTTTGTCTGTTATATTTTCTAACATGGCATCAGAGCAAGTGATATCGATGCCCTACTAAATTGCGCCATAGAGAAAGTTGTTGCCTTTTGTGCTCGCGAACATGGTATCATCCATGACTTTTCTCTCTCTATAATAGATACCCCACTGCTTTTCTCTCTCTAAAAAAATCCCACAGACTTTTTTTCTCTCTAAAAAATATATTATTGCATTCCAAGATAAAAAGTTCACTTAAAAAACAGAAGGAGGAAGGTTAGAGGAGGAAATTGGTCCACAAGACCAAAGCTAAAATACAATTCCTCCGGCATCAGTGCTTCATTTAGCTTGTCATCTCTCGATGACAATATCGAAGAATAATCCACATCCACCACTGTCGAGTCACATAAGGCAATAGCATCAATAGATAAACCTCCTTTAGGGATGCCATGGGCCTGAAGATCGAATACCCTTTATAGCAGCTTTGTTCTTCTTGACAGCCGCATAACCTTTGGTAGGGGTCTTAGAGGCAGAGGCAGTGTCCATGGCATAGTTTTTACCATTTTTTGAACGACCACCTTCTCTCTGTCAGCAGTAATCCTAACTCTTATACGTTCCGTAAAATCTTCCATCACCACACTCTGATAAACATCATCCATACGCATATCATCCATCAGTTTTTCCACTAAAGGATACTCATTTGTAAGGTCTCCTCGGTCACCGACGCCCTACCAAGGCACAATCCCGAAATAAGTAACGGAGGAACCTCCTCATGAGGTAAGACATCAAAGGGCAAAGCCACAGAGGACACAGAGACAACCAAGTCCGTAACAGATACAACTTCCTCCAAATCAAAACAAAAGGTTCATCAGCGATGAGCAAAGGGTTCACATGAACTTCATATGGTTCTACGACCATTATTGGTAGAGGATCGATCAACAGATGGTCGAACCGAATCCTAGTTTTCTTAGCCAGACCCCTGGCTGCTGCCAAACGAAAAGAGAGGGGATACATCTTCAGCTTTCAAAAAACAGCCAACAACAAACCCGACAACCTCCGACGTATACACAACAATAAAGCTTATTCTGAGCAAGAAGGCACAACAAAGAAATCAAGACCGAAAGAGAAAACAGAAAGTTGCCTTTTCAATTCTACTTCTTCCCAAATGAAGGAAAGAGAAAAATAATTTTTTATTTGAAGAAGATTGACCCCAAGGATATCATGCGTCATGTTTATAATGCAATCTCTGCCAAAAATCTTAGCATCATGACAAACCTTCCTGGGACTCAACCCCACCGCCATACCATCAGAATTTAGAATCTGATCCAAACTTATGCACAACGGATGGTGCACCTGACGGACTACCAACTTCCAAAGAGACTCTAGTTTGTGCGTTGTACAATGAGCACTTTCACGTTTTCCCCATGATTGGAGCCTTTCTCTACTCCTCACCATTGTTCATACCCACCAAAGAAACAATCAGATGACTTGTGAAAAATTATGAGAACCCCGCGAATGATTTCGGAAACCTGCCAACCAGAATCCATTGTTTAATAATTTTGGAAGTTTTAAATTTTGAAATTTGAATTTCCAATTGTTACTCTTATAATTACTCCACGAAAACTTACGGCTGGACTTCCCGGAGAAAACACCTCCTGCCATCATCTTCATCTTTTTTGGCCGTACATTATGCCCACTCTTCTTAATATCCACTGAAGAATCCTTCGCAAAAAGTTGCGATGATCTGGAACCAGCTTTATCAGTAACTAAGATATCAAATAAATCCTCATTAATGCATAAATGGATGCTCCAAGGGATTGGCAAATTGGAACATATCCCAACTTTAACACGCACAAATCGACAGATAGGACTAAAAAAGGAGTGCCAATCCAAATCCCGATAGACCCCAAGCCGCCCTGCCACTTTTACAATAATAGCCAATTTCTAGGCATACAAAGGGAGACCCCACAGTTTCACCCAAACTAATTCCATTGATAGAAAGGAAGCATGATCTAAAAGCTTCTAATGATCTAACGACAATACGCTTCCTTTGACTCTACAGAATCTATGAGAAATGGTTTTTCTTGCCTCCTCCTTTTAACGTCGCTCGAAAACTACTTTGTTAGTATCAATAATCTTAACATCAGGACAATGAAACAAACTCCACCCCCTTTGGGGCAGGTCAGATAAGCCAAGAAAATCAGCAATAGAAAGCGAGAAAGAACTTGTCACAAAAAATTCTGATTTGATATCTAGATGCTCCCAAGCTACTCGATCCACCACCACCAAATGAGAGCTTGAATCCACTATCCCGCCATTCTTACTACCAAAAACACCTACGTCCCTCTCATCCAGAGCTTTTCTCCCGTCCATGACATCTCATAACCCATGAATCGGAGGTCCGCTATCTTATCCATCAGATTTCCTCACCCTCTGACACGTGAGCTATTTTTCTCTTCACCCTCATCACCTAAAATCTCTTAATCCCCATGTTTATTTTTATATTATATATTAAATTCTAAATTATGGAATTTATCTTTTTCAAAAGGGATAATTTAATTCTTTTTTTATTATTTATCTCTTCCCCACGTGAGCCTTTCCTAGAATCTCTCTCTACCCTCATCTCTTAAAATCTCTCAATTCCTATGTATTGGTTTTAGAATATAGGATCACTGATACCCTCATATCCTAAAATCTCTAAATTCTTAATGTTTTTTAGAAACTAGGATCAATGAGGAAGTGCAAACATAGCTCTCTCTAAAAAGAATGATGTGTACTCTCTTTATACTCTCTATATCTCTCTTTCAGGTCTCGTCTCCCAATTTTAGAACCTATATTATCTTTAAATTTTTTTTTTTCAAAATTTTGTTATATTTCAAAAGAAAGAAAATTCATCTCTCTCTCCCCCACACACCTCACACATATCTCTTTCCGCAAAAAGAATGAGGTATACTCTATCTCTCCTAAAAAAAAAAGGTATTCTCTCTCGTTTGAATGTTTCTTATAGAATCAGGGTCCTTTTGTATTTCCACAACACATCTATTTAACTTTGGCTTAATAATGCAGTATAAATACATATATATATATATTTAGTTGACACTAATAGAAAATCACATTTGAAAATTTCGCAGTTGTTAATTTTTTATCCGGTTTCTATGTGGCCAAGCCCACATATTTAGAAATACAGACCTCTTAATAAATCTATTTTTTTTTTTGTTGATCGCTCTCTTAATAAATTTATTTTTGAGATGGATTTTAAGACTTAATTTTTAAGGACATGTAAATCATGAATATGAAAAAATAAATCAATTTTTAAAATTAAAAATAATAATTCTAGTAAAAAAATATTTGAACCATTAGTTTTTATTATTTTTAATGGGAAGACCTAATTGCATCCATCTTTAATATGGATGCTTTATCCGTTTAGACCGCATACGTAGAAATGCAGTTCAGCTCAATTTTCCTTAATTTTTTCGGGTGAAATAGTTCTGACCTTAGTTGGGTTTTTATCCGAGGGAGTAAATGGACCACTACTCCCGCGGGAGTATATAATATCATGCGGCTTAAACCTTATGCCCTTAGGCCGCGCCAAAATCAGTCCTTCTTAAATGTGGAAGCGGATGAAGAAAATTAGGGTTTTTGCAGTATTAATCCGGGGTTTTTATCCCGTATGAGAAGAGAAGTTGGTGTTTCTGAGGACGTAATAGGCTTTTTTAAACTATAGACTAAGAAGGCTAGGGTTTTTATTAAATTATCAGTTTGTTCTCTCTTCGAAATTTCCATTTTTCATCTTCTGTAATACTTCGATTTCTCTTGTTTTGAAATTTCGATTTTTCTTCTTTTGTAATAGTTCGATTTTTTCTTATAAAGCTTCGACTTTATATTTTCTACAGAAGTACAATCCGTATAAAATTCCCAGTTCTCTTTATATCTTCTACGGAAGGAGTTTTTTCTGTTGATTTTGAGTTGTTTTCTATAGTTTTCGGACTTGAACGATAATGAATGTTGGAAAAGGATTTTCCTGTAAATCTTCTCTAGAAAGGCTGGTAGCTCGTAATCCTTCGCTTGAATTGAATACCGATAGCATCTCTCTAAAACAAAAGGTACTAACTTACGTGTTTTGATCGAATTATATTTGAATTTTGTTTAATTCATCGCGTTCTTGATTCCCCATCTGGTTAAATTGCAGCTGGATTCTGTTGAATTTTCCCATTGTGTACAAATTACCATTTGATTTTGTTTGAATTTTGGTGTTGCTTGTTTTATAATAGGGCGATGATGTGAACGAGAACGATGTTATCAAATTACTTGCCGAGTTCTTACTGGACCCGAGATTCACCATATCGATTTTGGGCTGCTTTCGGCCACTCCTTCGTGGAATAATGGATGAAGCGGTGGATTTGCTTAGGTGTTCTCATGGTTCAAGACATTCTGAAGATGAAGTTATGGAAGATTTTGATGAAGAAAATGGTTCTGGTATGAAGGTTTTCATCAGAAACGGCTGGAGCTTGAGATTACATGAACTTGCTGTACTGGCTTTTAGCCGAGCCTTAGAATTGGCCCCATTTTTACTAAGGTAAATGTCCGTTTTCAACGAAATCCAAGTTCCTGTTTTTCTTTATTGATAAAAAGGATTACTTCATATTCCGCAAATAACCTAAAAATGGATCATTTATGCTGAATTATGTGTTCCTATCCATTATTTGCTATTCATACTGACTTTGATAAACATTCTTTTAATCGGTTTTATTTAATTTGATTGGTTACTGTTTTCTGTTTGCATATTTGATTTTTTCCAATTTTTTTTACACTTATTTTCTTGTATTTTGACAGTTCCTCAGTGGAATAGCCAGAGTAACCAATTTGTTCAATATTGTTACTGAAGTAGTCCCTTCTTTTTGGGGAGTTGGACTAAAGTTATCATTAACAGTAGTCATTTAAAATCACCAAGTGGTGCCATTCCTTATTTCTCAATTCCCATGTGGGTCAATTTGTTATTGCTTTTTAGCATTAATTCTGCACTCTATGCCTAAATTGCAACTCCTATGTGGGTCAATTTGTTATTACCGTTTAGCATTAATTCTGCACTCTATGCTTAAAATTGCAAAGTGAATCAGGAATGCTTGTTAGTAGAATTTGTTAACTTGACCTGATGCAATTACCAAAAAGGAGAAATACCGAAAAGGAGAAATTGTTCCCGCTTTACAGAAAATATTTCCTTTGATTTTGGTTGGTTAAGGGTTTGCTCTCTTGTTTTGTTGTTGCAGGTCCATTTTAAATTACTTTAAGTTTGCACCTCCTCCTTTTCAACGGCTTCTACATATGGATAAAGTTGGAGAAAAGGTGATGTAGTATCTTTTCAGTTGTGCTATTTTGTTGTTTGTAAATAAAATTGCCTTTGCTTGTTCTTTGCAAAGAATTCTGGTGACGTCGTATCTTTTCAGCTGTGCTATTTTGTTGTTTGTAAATAAAACTGATGTTGCTTCTTTCGTCATTATGAAAGTCCATTAATGATCCCATCATAATTTTTGAAGTTCTCTTTTGTTTTTATTCTTGTAACAAAAGTTGAATGTAAGTTTGTGAAGTGTTTTGTTCTATTTTTTTGTTTTAATCTTTGATTTGTCAATGGACTAAAAAGCAGCTAATAGATTTATTTATTTGCATTCAGGACTCATTGGACATTGTTCGTGTATCGTATCGCTTTCTGAAATTGGAGCCCAAAGTCTTCTCTACACTTTGGGACTGGTCTTTTTTCTTGGACACAATAACAAAGTATTCAAATATTAACCCAAGCAACTCTGGGGCCTCTTCGGAGACAGTTTTGGATATAAGATGGTGCTGTGCCCAGGTGTTGTCAGTTGTCATGGGGATGAGTGATAGGGTGCCATTAGATCTTGGCCTCACAGAGGAAATGAGTTTTTCATGCTTCTTGCGGTTGGTATTTTATTTTATCTTTTCTTATGTATAACTTCACTAATTCGATGTTTGATATAGCTTTCTGTGAGTGTCATAGTTCTTGAATTCTTTTCCATTTTTTTCCCTTCCATCATTTATGGATTCATAGAGAGAGACTTATATTTGTGAACATATTATGTTTTAGCTGGGAGGAGTATTGTCAGGATGTATCATTAGAGAAGGCTGGCTGGTATGTAGAAGAATCAGGACTTTATGAAGGAAATATTGATTGCGAAAGACCTGCTTCAACTGATTTGATCAGTGAATTAGCTTATGCTAAATGTTCGTCATTAATTTCTTCTCCAACTGCTTGGCAGATGGATCGATTGAGAATGAAAATTGGAGAAACTAAATGGTATCTACTTTTACATGAGCTATGGAGCTATTTACTTTCTCACTTGAAATATGACAATTGTAGGGTTCTAAATGTTAATGTTTTTTTTTGCCTTTTTAGTAAGATGAAATTGAAACCAGAAAGGAGCCGATTTGTACTTACCTCGAGTATGAAGAGGAGCTTTGAAATGGCTCGATTGGCTGTGAGTCAAAGATGTCCTGTTCTTTTGCATGGTCCTTCTGGGGCAGGAAAGACCACACTTATCAACGAGTTGGCACATGAAACTGGAATATCAGGTTTTTGCTTTTATTTTTTTTATATTGCAATTGGCAAAGTGAATATAAGAACCTTTTGACCCAATCCAATGTGCACAGTGTATAGGAAATTCATGTCGTTTTCTTAAGAAGCACTGCTGATAACTTTCTTTAACATCACTTCATTTTTTTGGTACACTTTAAAATAACATATTTGACTCACTGCATGGTTCAGCCTAGTCCTGTCACTATTATTTTCCTTACGTTATTGTTCCATTTGGATGATCAAATGGAAAATAAGACACTTATCACGTTTCATATAACTATTGTCTTTCAGATGTTGTTTATATCCATATGGATGATCAAATTGACAGCAAGACACTTGTTGGTTGCTATGTTTGCACGGAGATTCCTGGAGAATTCAGATGGCAACCTGGTTCTATTACCCAGGTTGACTATTCACATGCCTTCCTAAGAGATATTCTTGTAGTCTTGTTGTGGACTTTATTTCATGGTTGAATTGCTTACATAGTTTAATAATTGTTTCAAGGCTGTTCTGAAAGGACTTTGGATAGTTTTTGAAGACATAGATAAAGCACCAAATGAAGTTCTCTCTGTTCTTTCACCTTTGTTAGAAGGTCGAGGATTACATATAACTGGACAAGGGCAGGTAAAGTTTTTTTCTCTCTTCTGATAAAGTAAAAATACTGAAGTATAATAATTAGAGAAGCACTACTAAATTTTTTGTCCTATGATTCGATGGGACACTTATATTTTTGTAATCATTTATGAAGCTCGATTCACTGCGGATTTTATTTGTAACTATCTTCGAACTTAATGCCTCGTTGACTAAGAATTTTTCTTCAACCAACAGTGTTTGTGATTTTTTCCCAGGAAATAAATGCTGCAGAAGGTTTTCAATTATTTGCGACAATCTCAGATCAAAAATTTAGTTGCAGTAATAATTTCATAGGTACATATTGTACTTTTTGGTTACAAAATCATTATTAATATCTTGTTTGTTCTAGTGACTTAATACATATTTGGTTCTAAAATTGTTGGTTTTGGGATTTTTCTGCCTTGAATAGCAAGTGTTCCCCCTTCCCATTCTTCCCCTGTGAAAACTTTCAATATTCAATTAGTTTCAGGTATGTTGTTTCATGGAAGCTGGAAGCCGTGGCTTCAGCAACTGTGGTACTTGTGGTTTTGTTTTTTGGCAGGGAGTGCGATAGTGGCAAAGCATCTGGAACAGGGGTCTTTGTCAGCCCCTTCTTCCATGAAGAAAACATGCCTTAAATTTTTTGGATAGCATATACAATAATTATGAAGATGAAATGTTCTTTTGACAAAAAAAAAGAAAAAGAAAAAGAAAAAAAGTGTGTATATTTTCTTGGCTTTTGTGGTTGTGTCCCAAGTAACTTGACATAATCATTTATTCTTTGTGATTTATGAAAAATGTAAGAAGTATGTGGCCATTTTTCTGGCTTTTGCGATTGTGTCCCATGCAACTTGACATAGTCATTTATTCTTTGTGATTTATGGAAAAGGGAAGAAGTATGTTGTAGCCATAAACAAGTTTCTATTGTCTCTTTGATGTGTACCTGGTGCTTTGAATGCTTAATGATTTTTGGGATATTACAATTGCTAATAAAATTTTATGATTTGTAGAGCTACATGTTTACTCCTCTGGTTTTGTGAAGCTACATGCTTGCTCCTTTGAATTTCAGATGATCAAGAAGATTTTAGTATCCATGCTATTTTGATTGAAAAGAGTGCATCGTATTGAACTGAACCACTTCAAAAGACAAGAAACATGCACACATATAGAATAGCCATTTTTTATTATTTTTTGATCGTAATATATATGAACATGTATGTATATGTATATCTATATATATAAATATGTGTATATATTTATGTATATATATATATATATATATATATATATATTATAACAAGTGTTTGACTGGCGCTAGGAAGCCAAAAAGATGAGAAAGATAGGTTGGGGTTAACTATATATATATGGGTATGGTTTGTATAAGGTTGAGGCTCTAAACAATCAAGGTAAGGCACACCTTCAAATAGTATCAAAAGATGTTGTTTCAGTACTGGAAATCTTTGGGATGGCTTGAAAATTTATTTTCATCTCTTATTATAAAATTTTGAGTCGTAAAAATAGTGTAGATTGAGTAGATCTATGAACACTTGAAAATATATTTTCATCTCTAATTATAAAATTTTAAGTCTTAAAAATAGTGTCGATTGAGTAGATCTATGAACACTTGAAAATCTTGTAAATTGACGGCCCAAAAAATGCATTACAAGATGCATTATTTCCAAGACTTGAAATCTATTTTTTTCATGTCCATACATCTTGAGGTCGAGATGATCAGTTTGAGGATTTTTGGGCATCAAAACAACCTCTTCTAGTGAATTTTTGAGGAACTTCTTAATTTGAATTTTTAAGGCCTCCTCCTTATATATAGGACAACTTTATATATATATACATATATATATAAAACAAGTGTTTGGCTAGCTAGGAAGCCAAAGAGATGAGAAAGATTGGTTGGGGTTGATTAGAACTCTAATATTCTAATGGCATAGAAAATCTTTCTGGATATACTAGAGTACTTTTACCTGAACATTGATTCTGGCATTCATGTTTGGCTGGAGAGTTCAAAATCATTGATAATGACATGTCTCTCCAATAAATGTTGGTAAAAGGCATCTGAGTGGTTTGCAGGGCCTATAATGTTTTTTTTCTTGTTGGCCTTTTTCTTTCTTTGTATTGGCACAAGGAGTTTGATGTTTATTAGACAATAGCCGAAGGTGCGAATATCATGTGCAATATAATTAATAAACAATATGCCAAAATCAATGATATAAAACAGCACCAATATTGTAGTAATGTTATTTTCATAATAGTTACATAACATTTTTTGTAAATGTAGGGTGTGCGTGTTTGATATCTGAGTTGAGTTTGACGACTCTCCCAAGTGTTTTAGGAGTTTGTAAACGCCAACTTACTAGGGAGAGGTCTTGCAATCCAACTTGATTCTGGACTATTGTTTAAAACTTGATGTATGAGGGTAACCTCATTGGATCAAAATACGTAAGAACTAAACAACAGTTATATGATGGAATGTGAAAAAAAGAGAATACCATAAATGACATGTGCCAATACGATGCAGGCATGACTCCTAAGTGATACAATAAAGAAGATGAGATCTCCGTCTATTTTTTTAGTGATCACTATATGGCATTTTATTTTGCTAGTTGGGATTAAATTTTTCTGGAGGTAATCGCATGAGAATTTCTTGTTAAATGCCTTTTTGATGTATTGTTGCTTTTAGTAACAGTTAATGTGGAAGGAAAACAGCTTACTTCCATGTGTTTTTTTACTTTTGGTGTGTCATTTGTTTCATTTAGCACTGCTAGTTGATAAATGTGCGTATTTTTGGAGGAATTCTGATCTGTTTGGCAACAAAAGATACAAAATATATTGATTTTCTCAAACTACTGAAAGCTCATGACTTTGCTTGAAAAAAGAAAAATAGAATTGATTTTATTTCCTTTTTCTTTTTCATCTGAAGCTGCTTTGGCAGGTCCAAATTCTTTTCTGTATTCTGTATGGTAAGCTTTGTCATGTCAGGAAAATCATATGTGGTGCCATTATTTTCATTTCCATGAATAAATGATCTGCAACTCTTCAACCTGAATGTTTTAATCTCTAGTTAGTAATTGTCTGTTAGATTCATTTTTTATTTCCAAGGTGGTTTGTGTGATCATGCTTGATGGATTAATTGATTGAGATCATACAATTTGATCTATACTTGTGGGCTTACGGCTTTACCTGCTTAATTGATGGGTGAACAATATTCTGTTTCCCCGTTTCTATTTTTCCAAAGTTTCTGAATGTTCTTAGAGAGCGCTTTCTGGGTTTGGCTGATACAGGTACCAGCCGGCTGAGTAATTTATGGACAAAAGTGGAGGTTGTAGCTCCAACCAACAATGATGTACTAGAAATTTTGAAGTTGTCATTTCCAAGATTGGGGTCTCTTGCTATGAAACTACTAATAGGTGTGCTGGCTTTGTCAGTGATAAACCGTTCTTTCTCTGGTCAGAGTTCTTTCATAAGATTGATTGTTGTTATTGCTTGCAGATGCCTTGGAAAGAGTGAATGCTTTCTGTGCACAACATATTGGAGGGTTCCCAGTTGGTGGATCTTGTTCAGTCAGTGTTTCCAGCAGGTTCTCCTTGAGGTAATATAGGAGCTCTGTGGCAATGAAAGGACAAATAGAAATATGTGTGTGCATACTCTTCTGTGTGCTTGCTTTGTGATTTATATATTGACTATGGTCAAGCAGGCATCTCATGAAACTTAGCAAGCGGATTTCAAGTTATCTTGGTGATGATGAAACGGTGTTTCCTGATTCTACTCGTAGAAGCATGTATCGAGAGGTATCTTAGCTGGCCCTTTTCAATCCATCTTTACTTTCTGCTGATAATTTTTTTAATAAGGCTGCCTGTTTTATGCTATATGTTGGTGCCTGTTACCTTTTTCTGATCCAATCAGTTTGTCTTACTATGATTTTCCCAGGTTGTTGACATTTTTGCAGCTTCCATGGCTTCTCCTGAAAATCGACTTCTGCTAATGAAAGAAATTGCAGGAATATGGGGGTTACCTGCATCACATGCAGAATACATATTCAATCTCTACAAACCATTAGTTCAGGTTTTAATCGCAGTCTTTGCTTTTTCCTGGTTAACAATATTCGATTTTCTTCATGAATTTCTCCCCTCATGGTTCTGTTTCGTCACAGACTAAACAATCTGGTTTGCAAGTTGGAAGAGTTTTTCTGCCTATCGGTCAGGAACCGGTTTGTTTCCACTCCGTGTCATCTGGTTTTGATGCATGACTTGTGGGTTTTTCATGGTGCTTGTCAATCTCATTGCTAATCCCTGTTTTTATGCATCAGTCAGAAGGCAATATGTATCTATCACAACGTAATGAACGGCCTTTTGCGAACATTGGTAGCTCATTACGCCTTCTTGAGATGATAGCCTGCTCTGTGTTTCATAATGAGGCCGTTCTTTTGGTTGGTGAGACTGGTACTGGAAAGACAACGCTGGTGCAGAACCTTGCAAAGAGGCTTAGAAAGTCACTAACTGTCTTGGTATGCTACCGTGTGTGATTTTCTCTTTTTATAAAAATTTCCATTATGTGAAAACTCTGTTATGGTGTGATTTGCTTGTTATCAGATGTTTGAAACTCAGTTTACTGTTATGCAGAATTTAAGCCAGCAAAGTGACAGTGTTGATCTATTAGGTGGCTTTAAACCAACAGATGCTCGTATCATCTGCACCCAACTTGTAATGGAGTTTGAACAGCTTTTTACTAAGACATTTTCTCAAAAGGTTGATTTTATTTATTTATTTAATATTTTTTATGGGCCTGGATTGGGTTAGGATTGTGTAATGTCCCTTGATTTGGAACTCCGGCTTTGGTTTTACTATTTCATTGCAGCTTTTACAGATGTCATCATCTGAAACTTGATTTTGTGATTTTCAGAAAAATTCATTGTTTCTTGATGAGGTAAAAAAGGATGTACAAAAAGGGAAGTGGAAGAAGTTAATGAGGCAACTTCAAGTCGCTTTCGATGCTGTGCATAAGAAACTTCGAGAAAAAGAGAAATCTGGCTCTTATCCAAAGCGAAAGAGATTTTTCTATGAGGATTTGATGCATGGATGGGATGCCTTTTCAGTGAAGCTTGGCTCAGCCCAAAGGCAAGCAGCTCATTCAACTGATTCTCTGGCCTTCTCTTTTGTTGAAGGCGCACTGATAAAAGCACTAAGAAGTGGTTATTGGGTGTTACTTGATGAAGTTAATCTGGCTCCTCCAGAGGTTTTGCAGAGAATTAGTGGTATTCTGGAAGGGGATAATGGCACTCTTTGTTTGCCTGAAAGGGGAGATGTGGATTGTATTGATCGGCATCCTAATTTCCGCATATTCGCCTGCATGAATCCTGCAACTGATGTTGGAAAAAGAGACTTGCCTTTCTCCATTAAGAACAGGTTTACTGAATACTTCGTTGATGATTTGTTGAATGAAGATGACCTGAATATTTTCATATGTCAATGTATGGAGAAAAGTGCACCATCTTATCTGCCTGTGAATGAAATTATATGCTTTTATAAAAAAGTCAAGGAAGAATCGGAGAAAAAATGGCTGGATGGCGCCAATCAGAAGCCCCAGTTCAGCTTGCGTTCTCTAGCTCGTGCATTGGAATACACTCAAAAGGCAACTCCAAGATTTGGGGTTCAACAAGCTCTTTATGATGGGTTTTGCATGTTGTTTCGGACTATGCTGAATGGCTCTAGTGCTAAAGATATGGAGGGCTTCATCAAGCGGATTCTGTGCAAGGGGTATGATATTAGGTCGCTCGACTATTGTGAATACTGTAAAGTGGATGTCCAATCTAGTGAATTGCCTTCTGGTTCTGAACGATATGTTGTAACACCTAGCATCAAGGAACATTTGAGGAACCTTTCACGGGCTGTTTTTATTAAAAAGTATCCAGTTCTTCTTCAGGGTCCAACATCTAGTGGAAAGACTAGTCTAGTAAAGTATCTTGCTGGAGTCACCGGTCATAGATTTGTGCGTATCAACAACCATGAGCATACAGATTTGCAAGAATATCTTGGTTTTTATATAACAGATTCTTGTGGAAAACTTGTTTTCCAAGAAGGTATATTGGTTGAGGCTGTTCGTAAGGGATATTGGATAGTATTGGATGAACTCAATTTAGCTCCATCAGATGTATTGGAAGCCTTGAACCGGCTATTGGATGATAATAGAGAACTTTTTATACCGGAACTTCAAGAAACTGTGATCCCCCATCCAGACTTCATGCTTTTTGCTACTCAAAACCCACCTATCTTATATGGGGGACGTAAAATGCTTTCTCGTGCTTTCCGCAACCGTTTTTTGGAGATCCAAGTTGATGAAATCCCAGATGATGAATTGATCAAAATATTGGAGGACAGATGTTACATACCCTGGAGTCGTGCGAACATGATGGTGAAAGTTATGAAGGAGTTGCAAATGCGTCGGCAAGGCAGTAAAGTTTTTGCTGGAAAACATGGATTTATTACACCACGCGATTTGTTTAGATGGGGGGACCGATATGGAGCTTTTGAAGGAACTTCGAATGAGGATTTGGCAAACGATGGATATTATTTACTTGCTGAGAGATTGCGAGTTGAAAGTGAGAAGGATGTTGTCCAAAAAGCTTTGGAGGACATTCTTAAAGTGAAAATTATCAAGGAAGAGCTTTATAAAAAGGTTTGTTTAAAGCATTTTGTGGTTTTCGTACTTTTTATTCACTTTCATCTACTCTTGAAGCTTATATAATGTAATAAAATAGATTATTGTGGATTTATATGGAAGTTAGAGTTTAAAGCATTTTCTAGATTTGACTTGGTTGATTGCGATGCTGAGTCAAGTTTTTGACTTTCCCTAACTAGCTTGAATGACTTCATAAATGTCAATGTCCTAAATAGAATTTTAATATTATATCATATCCCACTCTTAGAAACAACTGAAATGATTCTTCTATACAGATCAATCTACTTTGATTGTTCATTGATTTTTGAGAAACCTGACATGCTAGTTAAGTGCTTATTGGGAAAGATGAATTTGTTAGTTCTGTGGCTACACCCTTGCTTCCTATAACAATGACAATTTCATCGAAAGAAAATGAAGTTCATATTTAAGAAAAACCCTATTTTATTTTTCTAATTCGAGAATCCACTTGTTTTAATATTGCCTTCATGTCATCCTGACCTGTTATTGTGCTTCTTAAAGCTTCTCTTGGGTGTTCCCTAGAAGCATACTTGTCCGTATCGAACCTTTCCAAGTTGACTCTATCAAGACACTAGCAGTTTTTAAGACTCAGCTGGAATCATATCAATCTTTTTATTTTTAATTAGCAAATATTGTTTCAATTATAAGTGACCTGTCTTTTCTAACTATTTTCTTAAAATTCTCTTCTGAAACACAGGAAGCATCCCAGTGGTGTGATATAATGCACAAATCTCAAAGTTTTGATGTACTGGAAAATCTTGGATTTCGGAAGTAAGAAGTTATATTCATGGAACTTTTTTTTTGGGGCATGTTGTGTGCCATATTTAATCTAATTACTTCTGTTGGAATTGTACAGAATTGTATGGACAGGGAGCATGCTGAGATTATATTTTCTTATTGAACGTTGCTATGAGCGGCGTGAGCCTGTGCTTCTTGTTGGTGAAACTAGCGGTGGGAAGACAACTGTATGCCAGCTGCTGAGCCTTATCAAGGGATCACGATTGAATATATTAAATTGTCATCAATATACTGAAACATCAGATTTTCTTGGGGTTGGTTGGGGAGATCTTTCGTTTGTTCCTTTCTTTTCTTTACTTTATTATTGTGAATTGTTTGGCTTATAGATGTGCCTACGTGGTGATAGTTGATCCTCTTGTCTTTTAACTATTTTATTGTTTATTGGTGTTACTTTCAATATTGATGTAAGGCATGCTGTTGTTTCTAGGGTTTCCATCCGGTGCGTGATCGGGAAAACATTGCTGCTTCATTCAGAGAACACATTCAACAAATTAAGCTTTCACAATTGTTCATGAGGTTTGCAGGAGGCAAGGTGTGCACGTTTCTGTTGTTGTAACAATTATGCTCTACTCAATTGCTTGAGATTCTGAATTTCACTCCTGATTCTTCTGTCTTTCTTTCTCTCCTTTCATAGATGCTGTCTTTGAATATTGAAGAGGCTGGCAGCACTTTGGATCACATCAGGGTAGTGCTCAATCGTATTAGAAAAGCTCATCAAGACAGTGACGGCCGTCAAACTTCTGTTGTAAGGAATGATCTTGTTGACATGGAAAAGATGGTTGACAATCTTATTGACTCGCATAAAAAATGGCAAACACTTTTTGTTTGGCAAGATGGACCACTTGTTAAGTCAATGAAGAATGGTGAATGGTTTCTTTTAGATGAAATTTCTCTTGCTGATGATAGCGTTCTTGAAAGATTGAACAGTGTGCTAGAGCCTGCGAGGTGCTTGGTGAGTTTGGCCATCCTGTTAGGGCTACTACGCTGAACATCAGTTCACAGTAATTATATGTTGATTTTTATTATGTAAATGAAATTATCTTAATGACAATCCAGGGGGCCTTTAATGTCAGTTTTGATTGTTGTTATACCGTCATCTCTTTGCATTGATATTTGCTTCAACAAAATCATAAACCAAATGAATGCAGTTTAGCTATTTTTGTGTTTGGGTTTTTGTTGAAAGTTGTACAGTTGTACTCATGCCATATTTCTTCATTCCTAGCTTTTGTTCCCTGCGCCTTGGTCCCACTTATGGAGGTTATGTGGGTTTATTCATTTGTTTCTTTTATCAAACTTCAATTTGTGAGGATTGTTTAATGTTGCAAGTACTCTTAGCTTAAGGTTGTTGCTATATTTAGAGTGTGCTGTGGTGAGATGATGCTGGCAGGGCATGACTGTAACTATGGTTATGGATATGTTCTGAGTTTGAAGTTTTGAACTTTGAAATGATCGCAAGGAAACTTCCTTGAGTCCCTCAGCCTTTCTCTTTGTTGTATTTTTGGAAAGGACTTGAGGGAAGTTTACTATTGGAGTTCAATAATAAGAAGAGTGAAATGAGCACATGGTGGGGTGATTCAATGGATACCTCTGTAATCTAGGACTGTTAGTTTTCAAAGATCTGAGCTTTGGCCTCATGCATGTGACGTGGTCGCTTGAATCTTTTTAAGGTATTAGGTGTTGTTGGAACTGGATGATCGATACATTGATCGTTTTGTTCAATCTTTGTCTCAGTGGCCTTATAGCCTTGTTGTTATAACTCACACTAGAGGTGTTGGAAATCGCAGGATGATGTTATGATAGCATTTGATTGCTGGCCTTCACTTATGCAATAGCCTCTTGAGTTAGTTCAATCGCTTGCTTATAACAAGTTTTAAGTGCCTAACGGGTTCCTCAAATGATAGCCACAATCCATATTTTATAGGATTTGTGGAATTACATTTCAGATGCTCTGAGCAAAATGTCCTACAGCCCTCATGACTTTTTACTGTTGGGTTTATGGTTGTCACTTTTTTGGTTTTTGAAATGTTAGTATATTAAAGAATATTGTGCTGGGTGCCTAGCAACTCAATCGCAAATATTCAATTGGGTAGCCTGAATCTTTATTCTTCATCGAACCAATGTGCCCTATTTGGGCTTTATTCTTTCCTTTGTGGTGATTGAAACTTTGTGGTGTCGTTTCCTGTTCTACTATTCACATGTTGATGGAGCTCGAGCAGTTGAAATAAATTTTGTTCTATCAGTACTCTCATTTATTTCTTTATGAGGCATTTTTTAAGTGCATTTCTTGTTTCTTTATGGTTGCTAGGGAATGTTCACTCTTATTGATGTTTCTTGTATCAGACATACCACTTCCTCCAAATATGTTTTGATTTCTTCTAATTTTTCCCACCTTAGTTGATCCTTGATGTTTGACATTGTATCTTACTTGTATACTTCTGTGGTGTTGAAATATTCACTTGTGTAAGTTCACGAGGTTTGGTGTAACTGAATGTTCTGTCCTTCAAATATTGTTGCTTTGTAGACTTTGGCTGAGAAAGGAGGTGCTGTTTTGGAAGAATTAGAAGCACATAAAAATTTTTTTATTCTTGCTACGATGAATCCTGGTGGGGATTTTGGAAAAAAGGAGTTATCCCCTGCACTTCGTAATCGATTCACTGAGATATGGGTCCCTCATGTTAGTGACTTAAACGAACTGAGCGACATTGCTGTGGCAAGGTGCTTTTTCTCTCTAGTGATGTTCTTCTTCATGTTGCATGTGTCTGCCGGTTAAATGCTCTGACCACCTTTTATGATATTGTTCAGCTTTTCGAAACCAGAACTATCACGTCTTGCAACTCCAATGCTGAAATTTTGGGAAGTATGTTCAGCTTTCTTTTCTATGAATTCTTATATTGCTGTTTATCACTTTCTATTGATTTTTGTAGCCTTCCTATTTTTGATAATTTAACTTATTCCTGCAAACTTACGAAAGATCACATCTGGTGCCTGTCTGGGAACATCAGGGAGCTTTTTAACTTTTTGGGTGGTTAGTCCCATCTAATCTTATAAGTTGTCTGTGGTCAACATTCCTTAGCACCACAGCCAAGAGGCTGCCCATCAAGGAGTTAACTGTGTGTTTTCTCTTGTTGCATGTATCTATGTCTGTTTGCAATTTTATACATTTTTTCTGTCGTGTACTTTGAGGCTGTTGCCATTGAAAGCGAACTGTCTTCTATTAGCTTTAGAGAGTTCATGGACTTTTGTTTGTTTTTTCTTTTTCAATTTTTTTGGATAAACTTTCTCATCTTTGTTCCTAGAAAAATATGCCCCCCAACCTCCCAGCAAGGTCCATAAAAAGTGGATGCTACCCATTTCTCTGACATCCACACTAAAATACCTTAGAAGGGTGTTATCGATGTCCAAAAATTTCAAGATCTCTCCCGAAGTCGCCATTCACCTGCCTTTTTATTTGGTAATCTGCTTTTAATGAAAGCGAAGCAGACCTTGCCTATCGGCACATTTTTGAGATTCTCCAATGGAATACTTCTCTGTGCAGATTGTTAGGAAAAAAAAGTTGTTTATGCTGGCCAACCTTGACAGAGGGGTACTCCTTGCATTATTTGTCTGGCAAAAACATAGTTGTATTCTTGTTACTTTAGTTGTATGCTCTGTGTATTGAAATAAACATGCATTTGGTATGCAACAATTTAAAAAATGCAAAGTGAGAGAAGTGACTGTGGAATTCAAGGCAATAAAATGCGAAGTGATGGAAGTGTATTGTGGCACTTGTAAGTGAAATTGAATAGACACAATCCAAGAATGAAACCCAAGCTTCTACTAACAATTTTACTGCAAATAATGCTCCTGGAAATTCAGGAAAATATGCAAATATAATTGAAAAATAAAAGCTAACAGCTGGGAAGACTAACTCGAATGTGCTTTGGTTTACCCTCGATAGGACTTAATACCACCCTACACCTGATTTTTTGACTGATGACACACTCTAATCTTATTGGTCTTTCTGAATTTTTTGAGCTCGGAAGCTTCTTTAGGCAATAACTAACAAAACTAGGGTTTTATAGAGAATAAGCACAATTAGGGTTTATTGGAACCTCTTTTTAAATAACTAGGGCATGCCACAAGGTACCTCCTTTTTCTTGGGCTGGGCATACCTCTTACTCTTCAAACCTTAACTAGGGTTAGGCTTGCGACCCCCTTAAGCCTTATGGGTGGCGTGCCACCTAGAGAGAGAGAGAGAGTGCTGGAGAGACGAGATGAGAGAGTGGGGTTTGGAGGGGAGAGTCAAGAGAGAGAGGCTATGGAAATTGTATAGAAAATGAGGGGGTAGTCCCCTCCTTATATAGGGGCCTCAAGCCACCCTTAGGTCTGCCTAACCAATTATGACTCATCATGATCAATAGGAATTTAGAAAATTTGTGAGGTGATATTAAAAGTTTTTTTTGAAAATTTTTCAAAATTTATAGAAATATCTATAACACTGAAATTAAATATCTAGAAGTCGATTGTTTCCAATGGGTCAAGAGCACTTACTGTTAGGTCACTCCACATTGAAAGGTGTGGCTGTGTGGAATTCAAGACTATAGCATTAAAAATCTTCTTTTTTTTCTTTATTATTGAAACTGAATTCCACTTACCACAATACATTGTTGTAAATAGAAAATAAAACCCTAATTACAACCTAGGATCTTTTCTTTTACTGCTAAAATAAATAAACACAATCTAAGAATAAAAACAAAACTTCTTTTATCAATTTGAGTAGAAATAATGTTCCTAAATATTCAGAATAAGCAAGCAAAACTGAAAAATAAAACAAAATAGCTGAGAAGACTTATTGGACATCCGCCTTCTTTCAACTATCATGAACAATTATTGTAGGCTGAGCTCCTTTTTCAAGGAACTATAGAATAACAGAAACGTTTGATTAAGTTTGATTCTTTATCAGATTGTAAAACCCACTTTTCGAAGAGCTCTTATGTCTCTTCGGGATCTAACATCAATTGCAATGATTCGATAAATGACTCATTGGGATAGATGAATAACACCCCCTAGAAATGTATAGGAAGTTTTCTCCTCGTACGGCTCGAGAAAAAATAAATATTGTGCTTAGGGTCTCACCCCAATAGGATTTAATACACACCAGACCCGATTTCTTGACCGATTGAGCACTTTGATCCCATTGGTCTTGCTGAATTTTCAGAGCCGGGAAGCTTCCTTATTCAATACCTCTTAAACTAAGGTTTTGGAGAGCATAAAAGACAATTAGGGTTTTGTTAGAACCCCTTAGGAACAAAGTAGGCCATGCCTCAAAGGCACCTCCCTTTCTAGGTTGGGCGTACTCCTCTCTCTATGATGAAATGGCTTGCCACCCACTTTTAATTTCTTATAGGGTTGTGTGCCACCTAGAGATAGGAAGGCGAGAGATAAGAACAAAAGATGAGAGAAAAGATTTGGGGCGTGAAGAGAGAGAGAGAGAGTTAGGAAAGAGAGGCTCCAATTGTGTATTATGAGAAGGGTGGTTCACCTACTTATATAGGCCTCAAGACCCTTTTAGGCCTATCCAATGACTCACCTTGACCAATAGGAATATAGGAAATATGTGAGGTAAGAGAAACAAATGTGAGCCATCCATCCCCACATATCTGCTATTATGATTTAGGGGGGCATATTAGGAACTTTACCCCCCATATTATTTGACCCATATCCAACTTCTAATCTAATTAGGATAAGACCAATTTAAAAACCTTCTAAAACTTCCTAATTTATCTCGAATTGTTAGAAGTCAAAATAATCTTTTTGGGTCAAAACTAATTCCTACAAAAAATAGGTCACACATAATCTTTAAATTAAAACATTAAAATAAAAGAGGAGGGTGCCCCCCTATGGGTGACATATGGGTGCCATGGGCACCACATCCTCCATGGGGGGTGGCACACATAGGGGGATGGATTCAAGGGACCCATATGTGCCCCAACACTTCCCATATTTCCAGAATTACCTTGTTTAAGGAATTTACAGCATAAATTAATTTTAGAAATTCTGAAAAAGTTGTAAAATTCTCAAAATTTTTTTTAATACTGAAATTCAAATATCTAGAAGTGGACTGGTACCAATGCATCAAAAATAAGTGATTCTAACGGCACTCCACCGAACCTGGTGATTGTGATCCACAACTATCTTCTTAACTAACCCTGTGAAACCAATGACCCATAGTCTCGTACAGGGGCTCATGATTGGTTTGTCAAAGTCAGCCAATGAATAGTGGAAGCATAGCCCAGGAATGTGGATTACTGTTCCCCTTTTTAAGAGCAAGTCAAGCTCATAACACTATAGTGCAAGAGGGACTCTCTCTATGCACATGTATACATACCCGTTTTTCAGGGTTGCTTCTCGATAGTGCGGTTGTCATATGTACATGCCGTGCGGAAGTTTGTTGAGGATTTAGCGCTTGCTCTCACATGCCTATATCCGCTACAAGAAACCACACTGCTCTCTGGGTTTACAAACTATCCCTGGGCATCTCTCCAATCTCAATTAGTGATGACCTCTATAAACGTTTTTTGGTAGTGCCATATGCGCAAGGGTAAGGGTTTTGGACATGACCAGGGTCATAGACTGTCTAACACTCTAACCTTTGGTAAGTCAAACAATAAACACCACAATGAAATGTATAATCCACTATAAAGGCCTTTTTGCATGCTCTCACGGCCATTAAAGGCCACAAACCCCAATACACTTGATCTAGTAACCATGTTTCACGATTGTCTTCTTGAATCAATCTTACAAGAACTGTAACCCACAATCTCATGTAGGGGCTCATGATTGGCTTGTCAAAGCTGGCCAATAAACAGTGGAACTGCGGTTCCCCTCCTTAAGAACAAGTCAAGCACCTATCACCAATGTTAGAAAACTAGCTTGGTGGCGCCTAGGCAATGGGGGATCTAAGCCCCTAGGCGGGTGCCCGGAGAGATGGGCCTCAATTGTTGATTTTTTTTAGGGTTTGGTTAAATACCAAACCCCCTAATATATGAGTTAAAATGGCTAATTTCAAAAAAAAAGAAAAAAAAAGAAAAGAAACCAGGCACTAAACCCATACCTTTGTAAATCATAAATTGTATCAAATAGTCAAACACTAATGTAAATAATATAAAGAAATCTTGAATTGTAAACAAAGTTAAACCACATCAAAACCAACCATACTAATCCACATTTAAAAAATGAAATAAATCACAAATATCACAAAAAAAAAAGTATGTATAAATATCCTATGAGAAATGTATAATTGCTCATAAAACCCTAATCGAAAACTTGAGAATCTCTAACCTCTAAAATGAAATCCTTTAAGATCTGGAAGTGTGAGCTTTGGTTGCCAAAAACATCTTTTAACAATGCATTCAAGCCCCCATCTTTTAACAATCCATTCAAGTCCCCAAAAAGATTGGCTCAACTGCCTTTTGAAAGTTTCGGGTTTCCTTTCAATCTTGGATTTCTCAGAAGAACATTCGATCGGAGCATGTTTTTGGCTTGAATTTGGTTCTCCAAGGGAATTGGGGGGTTAAAATAACCCCCAAGTGGTTTTAATACAAAGAATTGGGCGGCAAAAAGACTGAAAATGCCCCTAATTGAGGGTCATTTTCACCCCTTTGTAATTTTTCGCAGGCCGCCTAGGCGTCCCGCTTGGGTTGCCCGCCGCGGCTAGCACTTGGGCGCTCGTCTTTATGCATACTCCTGTCTCTGCCCACCTAGGCCTGGGTGATGCGCCCAAGGCCTCTGGCTGCCTAGGCGGTCTGGTGGGTGAATTTTCCAATATTGCATATATCCGTAGTGCAAGGGGAACTCTTTATTCACATGTATATGCAA